AATATATATATATATATATATATATATATATATATTAAAACGTATTTGTGTCAAAACAAAAATGATGTGAATCAATCTTGTTGGCAAATAGCATAAATTAAATAAAATATCGCCATATTTCTAAGCCTAAATCCAAGGTACGCCTCAACTATTAAAAGTTAAATTATTTAACACAGCCTTGGATTATTTCCAATTCTCAGTACGTAACAGCCAGTGGTGACTTCTCGGATGAGGCAAGTGAGGCATTGCCTTACATTAAAAAATAGCTGTATCTTAATCCTTCTGGTAAGATGTTTTGAGTATGTGCCAGTGGGGACTTCTTGTGTGAGAGCGCTGCCTTACATTAAAAAATAGCTTTAGTTTAAACTTTCTGGTAATATGTTTTGAGTATGGGTTTCTCAAGTTAGATACTGCCTCACATTGAATTTCCATATCTATATTCTTAAACTAATCACTTACACCAAACATATTTTATCATTAATTATATTTTCATTGCTATAATCATGAAACATTAGTTAATATTTACTGAACTCTTCATTCACAATTTAATATTTCTAAATAATACAACAGTAAGTGCATCAAACAAAGAGCACTGAATGAACGTGCCAGAATGGCTTATTATAGTGTCAGTAGGAGAATTTGATTATATAAGCTTATGGACTGCCTAATGAGGTAGTGAGAAACTAGCTTTTTAGAGATGAAAATTGTAGGACTTAACATATGTAAATTACAGTTGGTTGAAAATGTACATGTTTATGTCGTATGCCTTAGATGTCACAAATCACCAGCTGACATAAATATATGCAGTGAGAAGTTTATTGCATCTAATATCAAAGTTATACTAGGTTAAATATCACTGATTAATGACAAGCAGAACCAAGTGATAAGGTAGCAAAATTTAGTCACAAAAAAGATGTAATTACATTATATTTTTTCATGTGATGATAGGACACTATTTTATTTATAATTGAAGTAAAATACATTCAGTCTATGCTTTTTAGAAACATATTCAGTATTATTTTAGATTTATTAGTGTGGTGTATTCAGAACAGAACTGTTTAGATAGGTGGTTTAAACAAGGTAGTGGACACACATTAATCAATTTATCTGTACTGTGTGTGTGGAGATTTAAATGTAACACTGTTGTAAGTAAGATACAGTATTCTAAAGTTTGTTAGTTGAAGCATTTGCGTAGGAGTTAGTCCTCTGTTTCTTTCTTTCTTTTAACATTAAACAGCTTTTTGTATTGTTGGGGGTTGCTTGATATTTGGTATTGCCTCATTTGTGACAAGTAGAATGTCTTTCAGATGCAAAAGAACTTCTGTTGGATCTACCCCAAGTAAAATCTGCTTCAGAAGAAAAACCTTGGCTGGAATCAGAATCTGGAGAAGAATGCCATTTAGTGTCTGAATTTACACCACAGGAAAGTCAAGTAAGATTTACCTTTGATTATAAATGTTTTTTATTGTTTTTAATGACTAGAAAATATGTTTTCCCAGGTATGATTCAATGGTTCAGTATTAATTCCCTAAGAAATTTGGTATTCTAAAAGTCAAGTTCTACCTGCGATGAAAGTGTTATTACTGTTAGAACCCTTAGGTATCTGACTGAGGTGATTTCACAACACACGTTAGCTTGAGTGTTAATATAACTAAAAACAATTCTTATGAGTGGTAAAGAGAATTTATAAAGATAATCCAATCTTTATCAGGTGAGCAAAACTTAAAAAAATAGAAGCATAGTGAACACAGACTATTAGAAAAAAAAGAGTTCCTAATGTTTTCATAATCTAATACTATTCATAAAGTGTGATTTTAATTTTTGATTAAATATTTTATATTAGATCTTCATTACTTAGACAACACAAAAATTACATGTTCTCTATGTTTCGGCAACTTGTGTAAAAATACCTCAGTTTTTGACCAACCAGAATCTTGTAAATATATTTTCCTAATCTTACAAAATGGTATATTTATAGTGTGGATTTTTCACATAAAAATTCATTGAAAATTTGCTCATTACCTTAATTTAAGAATGAAATGAATTTTTAAAAAATTTAGCAGCATGATGAAGCAAGAGATGGAGAAGATAACAATTTGGTTAAAAACAAATTCAGGTAGGACTAGTTGAAGAATGAACTAGAAATGATGTTTATTGTTGGAAGTAAACCACAAGTGGCAATATTAAAACTTGGAGAATTCATCAAAAAGGTTGGTTTACCAGGAATGTATAAACTATACTTCACAGGGTTTATCTTCAAGTTTGACACATATAAGTATTAAAAAGCACACATAAATGTCAAATGATTAACAGTTTTGGCTAATTGACTAAGATGTAAGTGAATCATATCTTTCATATATATATGAAAAAGAGAAAGCAAAATGCACAGAGAGCTTTAATTTTCAACATTTTACCAGGGGAGCATGTCCCCAAACCTCTAGCACCCTGAGAACTTTCAGTGTTCAGTATTTGACTGAAAACATTTCAGACTTTTCTGCCTTTGCCCATTCTCATCCTTGACCAGATCAAAGAAGCTATCAAAGTTTTTCAAAACAGAGAAGAAGAGACAAAAAATATTAAGAAGTAATGCATGTCAAAATATGATAGATGAAACGAAAATGTACGAAAAGATCTTTATGGACAAAAGCTGAAAGTAAAAAATACCTGCATATTAGAGAAAGAATGTTAGATGATTACATAAACAAAAAATCTCAACAATTAGAAAGTTGTACATCCACATGAACAGGTCTCTACCAACCCTGTTAACAAAGTAGATAAAGTAAAGTTATAAATTAAGTAAGAACATAAGATGCATACACAAATGTAATTCAAAATCAGTTTCCCCTTTCTTCAAGGATTCACTAGATACTGAGTCCACTCTGTATTAACTATTATTAATATTCATGTTTTTATTTATTGATAATATCATCTGTACATGCAGAGATTTTAAAATCCTGATATAGAATATATCAAAATAAAAAATATTTACACGATAATTAAACACACGTATAAATGTTATCTGCAGAATGTTAATAAGATTCTACTCTTACTGTGTTTACCCCTTTTTTTAGTTTACTTCTTTGTTGTGCAGTTGAAAGAAAATGTAATAAAATGTGAATGTTCAGGGTACTAGTTTGATAATAATAATCAAAAAAAGTCTGTAAAAACAATCTTTGAAAATGTATAAAAAAATCTTGTTATGGAAATTTAGTAACCAGAAGTAATATATATATATATATATATATATATA